GAATGTAACATCAGGATGAGCTTATATCATTAAAAATGTCAACATTTCACAAGATTAAAGGTCATTTCTTAATTATGTAATATATATATAATATATATTTTGAAGATATAAGCTCATCCGGATGTTACACACATCAAGAGCTTTCATTTGAGTACCCACATGTATTTTTGATATATTTTTCATATATACATATATGTAATATATATAAATATATAAAATATATGAAAAATTGATGTAGGTACTCAAATGAAAGGTCTTAATTAGTGTAACATCGGAATGAGCTTACATTATTAAAAATGTCAATATTTCACAAGATAAAAGGTAATTTCTCAATTATGTAATGTATATAATATATATTTTAAAGATATAAGCTCATCTTGATGTTACACTCATCAAAAGCTTTCATTTGAGTACCCATATGTATTCTTGATATATTTTTCATATATACATATATATATAAATAAATAAAATATATGAAAAATTGATGTGGGTACTCAAATGAACGATCTCGATGAGTGTAACGTCGAGGTGAGCTTATATCATAAAAAATGTCAATATTTCACAAGATACAAGGTCATTTCTTAATTATGTATCTAGAGACAGACCTTATAAAAATTCTTATTATAAAAAATGTAGGATTTTTTTATTAAAATAATAATTACCGAGAGACAGCTGTTCAAGACACCGATTTTCTTAGAGTATATTGTTTAGCATATGAATTGATATGAAAGGGTAGGAAATAATAATAATAAAAAAGTAAAAAAAGGTGACCCTTTTTGATTATAAAGGAATAAATATGTATATTAAAGACGAGGATTTAATTCATTCAGACTCGTACTCGGGTTTACCTTTTTTATTTTTATTTAAAATCTGTCCTCTTGCTCTGCTTTATATATTTACTCCCATCCTCTACCGCTTGATAGAAATAACAAAGAAAAGACTAATAAGTTAAGTAAAAGGGAGTATAGTAAAGAGAAGCATAGGATATAGGAATAAGGGAGTAAGAAAAATATAAAATAATAAATGTACCATACCAGGTGTTTTTAAAACCGTGGGACTATTTTTTTTTAAATAAAAAGGTACCTTTTTTTCTAACAAATAAAACTTGTTCGATTGTTGAAAATTTTTTTTTTATTTTTTTTTTTTTTTTTAATACAAAAAATATTTTACTTAAAGTATTTAAAATATGTTTTTTAATTTTAATTTTTTTGCAATTTAAAAATAAATTTTTTTTATTTCTTCACTGACCAAATCTTAACAAAAAATTTATTTATTTAATGACTAAGCCTTAAAGAAAATATATTAATTTTTTACTGACCAAGTCTTAAAAAATAATTTTTTTTACTAACCAAGTCTTAAAAAAAAACATTTTTTTTCAATTTTTTTATTGACCAAGTCTTAAAAAAAATTAATTAAGTTACTGAACATGTCTTATAAATAATTAATTAATTTTTTTACTGTCTTAAAAAAAAAAAAAATTTTTTTTAATTAATTTACTGACCAAGTCTTAAAAATAAATAAATTAATTTTTTTATTGACTGTCTTAAAAAAAATAATTTTTGACTGACCGTCTTAAAAAAAAAAATTAATAAAATTTTTTAATGAGTTGACAAAAAAATAATTTCATCTCATTTAAAAAAAATAAAAATTAAATGATGAATTTAGAAAATAAAAGCAGGCCGGGACGAGTGCAATTTGATACTAAAAATTACAAATAGTGCACTCATCACCACCTGCCATTAATTTCTTCAATAAACTTAACTTAAATATGAATATAAATAAAAATGTTTAATAAATAAATAATTGTTGTAAAGTATGCATCAGGATAGGCCGGGACAAGTGCAATATTAAAAATTAAAAACAAACATTGTCACATATCTCGACCTGTCTTCCATGCAATTAAGAGAGTTTATAAAAAATATATTTAAAATATAATATAATATTACAAAGCGAGTCTAGTGTACAGGGGACCCTAAAGGGACTAGTCTAGCGCAAACAGTAAAAATAAATAACATAAAAAAACATTATAACCACGTGGTTAGAAAGTGATTGGGGAATAAGTGGCCTCAGCGTGACCTTGGTCAGTCTAAACTAAGCTAAAAATTTTAAATCAAAGACCTAATCTTGCTTACTTGAATCTTTAAATTATCTTTTAGTTTTATTTCGAGGTCATTTTTTTAATTCAATTATTTAAATTTTAAATTTATTCAATTCAATTTTTAATTTTTTGAATATTTTAGGAAAATTAGTTTAGTTTAAAATTAATAATACAAATTTTAAATTATTGAAATTTTTAAAAAACACTTTTTGATTAAAATTTTTAAAAATTTCAATTTACAATTTTTCTTGACTTTTTAATTTCTTAAAGTTTAATAAAATAATATAAAAAATTATAATTTTTAACAAAATGACTTTAAAAAAAAAATTATAATTATGATACTTAAATTTTTAGACATCTAAAAATTTTATAACCAATAAATAATAAAAAAAAAAAATTTGCACTTAAAATTTTTAAATAAATTCCTTTATGTAGAATTTTTTTCATAATTTAACAAATAAAAATTTTAACGTCTTTATTAAATTCAATATTATTTCATTATAATGAAATTATCAGATATTAATTAATTTTTTTAATTTTTTTTCACTAATAAAATAATAATTAAAAAAATGTTTTATTAAATTCCACAGAAATTTTTTTTTTTCAATATTTTTATAATAATTCAATAAAGAATGAAAATTAAGTTAGCTAACATTTAAAAATTTTAACAATTTTTTTTATTGAAAATTCTATTAACAAATAGAAAATTTGAAAAACTATAAATGCAATTAAAAAAAAAACATTTTTTTTTTTAATTTAATGAATGAAGAATAAAAAATTAAAAATGTCGGCTAACTTTTTAAAAAAAAAAAAAAATACGATCAATAATAATGATCGTGCCAAAAAATGTAAATTAAATTAGTTGACATTAGAAAATTTTTATAAATTATTTTATTAAAAAAAAATTTTACTTGTCAAAAATTTTAATAGATTAAAAAATTAAAAAATTGTCTCAATGTCTGCTAATTTTATTATTATTATAAAAAATCACAAATCACAACACATTTTAATGGCATTTAAGTTAGCCGACGTTTTTAATTTTTTTATTAATTAAATTAAAACTAAAAAAAATTTTTTTTAAATTGCACTTATAGTTTTTTACAAATAAAAATATTTTTTTATTTTTTTGTAACATTTTTTTCAATAACAAAAGTGTTCAAGTGTCGGCTAACTTAATTTTTAAAAACATTAAAATTAGCCGCCATTTTTAATTTATTAATTTATTAAATTATAACTAAAAAATATTTTTAATAAATTGCACTTATAATTTTAGAAATTTTTAAATGAGAAAAATTTTTTTTAATTAAAAAAAAATTTCTAAAAATTTTCAAATGGCGGCTAACTTAATTTTCAAAAATAATAAAATTACCCGCCATTTTTATTTTATTAAATAATAACTAAAAAATATTAAAAAAAAATTGCACTTATAATTTTAGAAATTTTGAACAAAGAAAAAATTTTTATATAATAAAAAAAATTTTTTTATTAACAAAAAAAAAAATTCTAAAAATTTTTAAATGTCGGCTAACTTAAATTTTTCATCACAATTCACTCCTAGAACACAAAGCCGGCAAAATTTATCGCGTTACTGATCCTAGTACAGCTCTAGTGTGTTTACAAGTTAACTATTAAAAAAAAAAAAAATTGCCAGAAGCCCGAAAAAAAAAATAAAACTACGAACTAAACCCGAAACTGGTGATGGGTGAACTAAAACGCGTCAGTGTTCACCATGGGCTTAAATACAACGGAGTTGTTTAGTCCCCCACCATAATACTATACATATAGTGAGGATCATAGTCTTATGAACGTGGACTTGGCGCGATTTTTTTACAGTGAAACTGTTTTTGTTCGGATTTTAGTATTTTTTGTAATTATAATAAAAATTTACAATTGGTACCAACTTAAATCTCGCGTTGGCTGCATGTTTTTATAGCAAACTATTCCCTTGAAGCTACAGTTTATGTAAAAATAATTCCAGTGCACCCTGGCGGGTGTAGATGCAAGCTGTGAAATATCTTTTTTTAACTGTAGTTTCCCATCTAATGAAGGATTATTATGCATTCTCGAATTATTTAGTCTGTGGCAGATCACTTTGCCCATCGAAAAAAAGTCAGGATCGAAATTTTTGCGTTGCTATAGTTTGTGCTGATCAAATTTAGTAATTTCAAGTAGATTAATTGTTATAAGTGAATATAATTAATTAATAACAGTCAAATAAAGTATGAATTACTGTTATAATATACAATTTAGAAAAAAAAAGTACCATAGAATTAAATAAAATTTTGCAACCTCAAAATACCGTTCTGCTTACAGTAAACACAGTCGGTAGTCTGGCGCTCCGTTGACAAGGGATTTGAACGGAACTTGGCGCCAGATTCTACCGAATCTGTGGATACGTATTAGGTGGTATTTAAACAACAAATTTATTTATAAAAGTCTCATTTAATTTAAATAAATTATTCTCTTGGAGTATTACACTGAGAGAAGAGTTTGTTTGATATAAATTAGTAGATTTATTTGAAACAGCTATTTTTATGATTTTAATGGGCGCTAACAAATATAAAAAGTCTCTTTATATATTGGTTATACAAGTTAAAATAAAACATAGCTGCGAACCCAATCAAAATAATGATAAATTCTGGTAGCAACATCAGGTTTTCCTGCAGCACACATTTTTCCAAAGGAAATTATTCCGATTTGCCGATCGTTGGCAATTATCGGGCCACCTGAATCCCCCTGTTTAAAAAATAATTAATCATATCAAAGTATGTTATTGTTATTATAATTATTATACTAGATTGTTAATAATTTGACCTACTAAACAACTTCCTTGCTTAAAAGTAGTTGCCACACAAATATGTCCTTCATTTATAAATGTCCACTCTCGCTTACAAGTTATATTATCAATAATATTCAAATCTATTTTTTGTAAGTACGCTGAAGTTGGCCCGGTATACTAAAACATGTTTTTATTTATTTAAGCTATACGGAAAAAAGTAAACTGTAATATTCACTCGTATTCCGGTTAATTTTTATAGTTTCAAACAGTAAAGCGGACATCGGGGTGGCAAAAATATAAATATTACATAACTTAATGTAGAAAGTATAAAAGCCACAATTTATAATTTAATATCCAAAATAAGTGATTAGTAGTTGTCACTATAGTAAATAACGACTCTTTCATCTTTAAAAATTACAGTTTCAAACAGTAAAAATTGCTATTTCAATATATAGTCCATATTATGAGGAGAAGGGGAACTCGGATGAAAGAGAAGGGGGTCTCACTCTGGGAGAATTTAACATTTGAAACAGTAAAAATTGTACTTTTAAAATATACATTTTACCAGTCCAAGCAAGTCAATAATTACAGTTTGATTTTTAGCGTTGCGTTTAAAATTTACCATTTTACTTTGTAAATATTGACGTTGCTTGTATTAGAAATTTACTAACTTTATTTTATACTTTTTACATATCATAAGATCATTTTTTAGGTACGAAATGATAAATATCAAAGTCTGAATTCTTAATTATTATACTTAAACATTTTAGACATTTACATAGCGAATTTTACTGTTTGAAATAGTATTTTATTTCATGTAAAGAGTAAATTGTAACGTTTAAATGGTAAATATTATAAAGTAAATAGTAAAATCACGATTTGACTGTTTGAAATGGTAATTTTTAGCAGTTGATCATTACTTATTATAAATCGACTGTTATATATTACAGTTTACATTTTTCCGTTTAGTTTTAATTAATTTTTCTTAAACCATGAAGTTAGATAACTTATCTACCTCAAGACGGCCCCAACCAATCATGGTCACTGGATACTTATCTTCATTAATATCTACATCAGTAAGCTCAATCGGCTGAACTTTATCATGAAATCTAATATTGGATGTTGTTCTAAGAAGAGCAATATCATTAGAGCCATCGTTTATGTTAAAGGAATGGACTATTGGAAAGTGAACGAAATAGACGTCACCTATTTCGTGTTGAGAACTTATTCCAGCTATGATGGTGAATAAAAATGGCGAAATTCTTTAAAATAAATCATTATTATTACTAATTTGTTTTTTATTATTATTAATATTGTTTATTCAAAATTTCGCTTTAATTTTACCTAACAAGACAATGTGCAGCAGAAAGGATGTAACGATTGGATACAATAGTACCCCCACAAATATGTTTATCACGAAATCTAAGAGACACCATGTACGGATGTTCTTCAGCAGAAGTTATAACACCCCCAACAATACGCCCTAATGATGCCGAAATTTTCACTGCAATATTAATGTTGAATTAATAAATTTTAATTAAAGTTTCGAGATATTTCTGAACAACAAAAAAGCCTCGATAACTTTTTCTTTTTGACTAAATTATTTTTCAATGTGTAATTTAAAACGCGACTAATTTAAAGTTTACCCAGAAAATAAAAAAAGGAAAAAATTACATTATATAATGTAAAATGGCGCTTTTATATAAAAAATTAGAAAAATTACAGTTTTAGATTCTAATTTTTAAATAATTATATTGTAAATGTAAATATTACCTTTAAAGTTGTAAAAATTAACATTCAAAGTTTGAATTTCAAAAATGTTTGTTTCTAACTGAAATTTTTATTGTTTTCAATTTTAAGCGACACTTTTTACTATTTATAAATAAGTATTATAAAGTATTACGAAAGTAATGAAATCTTACCGCAGTATATAAAAAAGACAGAACTAATTGTAAAAAACAGCCAATTTTTAATCAACATCATAACTACTCCATTACATGAGTATAAAAGTAACTGTTTGACAGAAGCTAATAAGGTCGTACTTACATTTTACCGTAAGCTTATCAAACCGTTGTGATTAGTATGAAAGGATTGGAATTAGTATTGTAGTTTACTAAATAACCATTATCAGCTGTATATAAGAATGACATATTAGCTAGAGCAGTAATTTTTAAAACAAATCTGAAAACAAATATTATTTTATTTTTCTGATAAAAAAGTGTATTAATTACTAACTTTTTTAACTTCTTCTTTATTAAATTACTCTAAATAATGACTGGTTCTAAAAATAAGAGTAGGAATAAATCAATATTGAAAATAAAATTTTAAAAAAATCATCTATAAATGTCTGACTAAAATTAATTTATACTACTGAAATTTAGACAACTAATATACGTTACGTATGGAATTATATGGGTGATTCTCTGTAAGGATGTCTTAAATCTGTACAAAATTGTCCGACTGAAATTGAAATAGTCTTTTCTTCCATGTAAAGAGTAAATTGTAACGTTTAAATTGTAAATATTATAAATCGACTGTTATTTATTACAGTTTACTTTTTTCCGTGTACTTGTGGATTGCAAATAATTGTGAAAACTTGTAAAAATATTTCATTTAAAAAAGCGCTAAGCAATAGCGTCACTCTCGCTTAAAAATTCATAAATTTTAATAAATAAACTATTTTATAATAATTTATTTGAATTTTTGAATTTGAATTTTTCCCGCGGTTTTTTTTACCCGGGAGTTTCGAATTTATCAGTAGCGCCATCTATCGGAAATAATATAAACTATTTAACGTGACATTCCATGATTATGAAGTTAACTTTTTTATCAGTGATTAAGCAACAGCTGATCATGACGGGTGTTTTTGTTTTTTTAATAAATATTAATTATAAATAAATTAATAATGAATAGAATCAATAATTTATTTTTAATTGCACTCGTTTGATTAAAAAAAAATTCTAAATTTAATAAAAAAAAAATTTTTTTTTTAATAATAAAAAAATTATGATAAAAATAAATTGAGCTGACATTTAACAATTTAAAAAATTTTTTTAATAAATAAATTATGGAAAAAAAATTGACATGAAAAAATTAAAAAAATTAAAAATTGCAATTTTTTTTAAATAATTTTTCAAAACAAATTTGTTTGATGGATAAAATTAAAAAATATTGTTAAGACTGCTTACTTAAATATCATAAAATTATAAAAGTAAAAATATGAATTAAAATCTCGCGGGTTAAAATGGCCGCTAAAAAAATAATCTCGCGATCGCGAATCGAGATTGATAAATCGATCATTTCTTTTTCCTAGGTCAGCTAGTTGCCAGTTTCAGTTAAAACTTGGCGTTCGTCGTGTTAACTTTATTATTTTATACATTAAAAAAATTATTAATTACTTTCTCAGTGCGTAAATAAAAAAAAAAAAGATAAAAAGTAAATAACAATAAAAATAATAAAAACATAAACAAAAATAATAATTCAAGCAAGTAGTCTTAGTTTTATTTATTAATTTATCTTTGAATTTTATCCGCAGCTCCAAACGTCAATAATTTTGACATTAGAAGACTCAATTGAGGCAATTACTGAGGAAATAAAAGTTCACTTTTTTATCAGAAAAATAAAATGTGTGGGGGTTTTACGTGCTCGAAAAATGCTCTCACGGCATTGAATATTTTGTACATTGTAAGTATATAAAAATAAATCTCTCATAAATTTTAATTGGAAAATCTCCACTTAGAGATTAAATTGATCTACATATTTTATTTATATAAATTATCATATTAGCTATGAAGATAACGGTACTGCTAAATTGTGTCTTAGTATAATAGATACAATTTAGCTGTCCAGCTGAAGACAATAATTTTTTATAATAAAAAAAAAATATTTTTAAAAAATTATTCAGACGTGATCATTTTAAAAATTTACTTGATAAATAAACTAGCAACCTTGCAATCATTAGGGTGACTTGTGAACTACAAATAAATAAAATTTTGCTTTATTAAATAATGACTTTTGTTAAATTACACTGTACTGTCTTAAATATTGACATTTTTAAAGATATAAGCTCATCCCGATGTTACACTCGTCACGAGCTTTCATTTGAGTACCCACATGCATTTTTGATATATTTTTCATATATACATATACATAATATATATAAATATATAAAATATACGAAAAATTGATGTGGGTACTCAAATGAAAGGTCTCGACGAGTGTAATATCGGAGTGAGCTTATATCTTTAAAAATCTCATTAGTTGACAAGATAGCAATGTCAGTTCGTAATTATTGACATTTTCAAAGATATAAGCTCATCCTGATGTTACACTCATCAAGAGCTATCATTTGAGTACCCACTTGTATTTTTGATATATTTTTCATATATACATATATAAATATATGAAAAATTTATGTGGGTACTCAAATAAAAGGTCGCCATGAGTATAATGTCACGGTGAGCTTATATCTTAAAAAATGTCAATAGTTCTCAAAATACAAGGTCATTTCATAAATATTGACATTTTTAAAGATATAAGCTCATCCCGATGTTACACTCATCAATTTTCATATATTTATGTATATATTTATATATATTACATATATGTATATATGAAAAATATATCAAAAATCCATGTGGGTACTCAAATGAAAGCTCTTGATGAGTGTTACATCGAGATGAGCTTATATCTTTAAAAATGTCAATAATTAAGAACTGACATTGCTATCTTGTGTACTAATGACATTTGTAACGATATAAGCTCACCCCGATGTTACACTCGTCAAGACCTTTCATTTAAGTACCCACATGCATTTTTGATATATTTATCATATATACAAATACATATATATAATATACATAAATATATGAAAAATAGATGTGGGTACTCAAATGAAAGGTCTCGATGAGTGTAACATCGGGATGAGCTTATATCTTTGAAATTGTCAATAGTTCTCAAGATACAAAGTCATTTCTTAATTATGTCCCTAGAAATAGAGAATTTTTTAATGCGGCTTAGATATTTATCAATATAAATTGACTATCGTTGAGAATGATATTAAACCTTGAAAAGGCACAAATTCAACTTTTGAAAAAGAAATTATCTTAAAAAGCTATCAAAAATTATAAATGCAATTTTTTAAAAATTATCTTTTAGATCTAGTTTATTTTTCCATAAAAATAAAAAAATTTTCATGTGTCTGTTAATTTTTAATGTTATAAAAAATTGTATTTATAATTTTTTTTATTAAAAAAAAATTATTTTAAACAAATTTTGACATTAAGAAAATTTTAAAAATTCTAAATTAAATTTTCAAAAAATATTTTTTTGTTCTTGTTATTAAAAAAAATTTTTTTTAATTAACAGGTAGTAGCATTCATACTAATTGGAGTAGCAGTGTACGGCCGAGCATCAGCATTGGTAACAAACCTCCCAATAATCGGTGGAATCTTAGCCTGCGGAGTAATTTTAATCCTTATATCAATATTGGGTCTGATTGGAGCTGTCAAGCACCACCAAGTTCTTCTCTTCTTTGTATCCTTTAAAAAACTTCGTCTAAGCCGCTAAGTCTTATATCAGTCATATTTTATAATAGCACTCATTATTATCTGACAAATTTACAGCCTAAAATATTTTCCTTAAATTAAATAATTTTTTAACAGTACATGCTCATTTTATTCTTGCTGTTTTTGGTACAATTCAGCATTGCTTGCGCCTGTCTTGCCGTAAATGCCAAACAACAAGAGCAATTAGCAGAACAGGTATTTTATTTACTTAATAGATTTTTAATCTTATGTTTATTTTATTTATTTATTTATTTTTGTTTGGCTTATTATAGGGATGGAAACGCGTTGGAATGGAACTGAAGAGCAAAGTACAGACTAATTTTAATTGCTGTGGATTTAATGGAACTGATATTATTGATATTGACCCGAAAATGCACCCATCTTTGTTACTTATGAAAAACACTGCAGGTAGCGCTAAAGTCGTCACATTTTCACACACGGGATTGGAAATTTAAACTTACTTTTTGCATTTTGATTCTTTTGAATGATAAAATATTATTTTATACTTTTAAATGAATAAATTTTTATAGAATAAGTTTTAATTATACTGTAAATAATAATTTTAATTGATACAAAATGTATGTATTGCTGTTTTAAATAAAATATTCTTAAAAATAAATAACCACGTATTAAATTTATTAAATTCCCTAATTTAAATTTTCAAAAAAGTTATAAAAAATTAACTTTTACTTTTAAAAGCTATATGAATGGATGCGCGGGGGCTTGCTTTTGCTCTAAAAAATAATCGCGGTCGCGAACTAGTCGCGTATCACAGCTAAAAATAATAAAAAACATGAAAATTATCAACCCTGAAAAAAGTCACGTAGGGTATACTAGGGTGGGGGTTGGAGTGGGGGTATACTAGGGTGGGGGGTTGGAGTGGGGGTAGCTAAAAAGTTGATATACCGAGGGGCAGCTAGCCTCAGAAGCACAGTTCCCGGTCGGTCGGTCAAGTGTGCACATCGCGCAATGATGTTGTAAACTTTGCCGGTCGTCCAAATTACCTCCTCGATTAGTTTTTTTTCGGGTTTCACGCGTACTAGAGTCGATTTTCTGTATTGTATATATAATAACGTAGTGTCATTCTTTTTTTTATTATAAAGTGTTAACGTAGAGTCATATTCGCGGTAGTTCTCAGTGTTTTCATTAAACTCTCATCAATTTGTCAAATTGATTTGTATTTTTTTTCTTTGATTTTGAAATTTTTAAATTAGATTCAGTTTTTTTACATTAAATTAAATTAAATTCACGCGCATACACACTCACACTTACAAACACATACTTAACCTCACTTCCTACCCACGTCTGTCTCTTTCTTCTTTAATTTTTACTTCACGATCGGTTTCCATTTAGATTTTAGAGTCACTTGTGTAAAAATTAGCTTCAACCCTTACTCACATACACACACACTCTTTTAGGGAGAGTTTTCTTACTTCCCTTCGTTCGTTCGTTAGTTCAAATTAGATTCACGCGTCGTCGTATTCACAATTCGGTTTAACAATCAGTTCAGCGGTTTTTTTTTGCGTTAATTTTAATTAAATAATTCAACGGGTAGTTAGCGTAGAGTCAGTCGCTTCGGTAAATTTTTACAAGGCGTGAAGTTTCGTTGCTTGATGATGGTGCGCAACATCATCAGGCATATAAGATCTTCCCGGGAAACCAAATTAATCCTGATCTTTGCGAATTAATTAGGGATTAAACATGTTCACCCCTTGAGTGCCCGGGCGCAATTTGGGTGACGGTTTAATCCTTTTTTAATTTTCTCTGATCAATTCTTTTGGTTTCCAAGTCTTAAAATTTATCGAACGGCATTTTTAAAACTAAATAAAAAGTAAAGTCAATTTGTTGCTAACTTACCCGTTTTTCCTCGCGATTAGATTTTTTGCTTACAATGATGATAGGTAGTATACCATTGAGCTGATTTCGCGGTTCGCATTTTTTTCTACTTAAATTCTCTCGCGGTCTTTACCCCATCCCTCACACACTCTTTCACCACACACATTCACCACCCCTTGTTTTTTTTTAATAAATTAAATAATAACGTAGTCATTTTTATTTTTATCGGAAACCTATATCGTGCCTACTAGAGTCGCTTCTTTTCTCACCCTCTCCTTGTCGTGAGAGCCAACTCACGACAAAATCATCCCTTACACTTATACATCGACCGGTTCCGTAGTTTTTTCTTTAATAAATAGATTCATTAGTAATAATAAATTAATTAGAGTCACGCGCGCAGGCACATACAATTGACTCGCAAAAGTATTTGAAACTACTATTTGCGTTCGATTCGTTGCCTTTTTTGTAATTTTTCTTCATTTTTTTTATATTAGATTTGTGAATCAATTTGACATCCATCACCAACTTCATTATTTGACACTGAAAATTACCGCGAATTTTTCAATTAGTTCGTTTCGGAATCGTCAATCGATATTAAAGTCTGATAAGAGAGCGTAACCCTCCGGGCGGTTCGACGTCAACTTCTTCTTACCCCGGATACATATTATCCTGTCGTGAGGATCTTTCGTTGATTCTCGGTGTGACAATCGATTCGCCGATTCGCTTATCAACCGATTTGATAGCAAGCAAAATGGCCAGCCAGTCATTTTGCAAGGTCGACAATCCGTTGTCACATCGATATCATCAAACATTCAAACGGTGGGGTTAAATATATACTCTGGGGTGATATTAGGGGTTGATTAGTCGACCAATCGGTGGCCCAACGCTCGATACATCAGAAACCATCGTATTGATCGATTCTTTCCGTTATTAGTATTTAAATAAAAGATTAATTAGTTCAAAATCGAGGGGGTATAAAAAGGGGGCTGTTAATCAGTTTTTTTAGTGTGTTTCAGCAGGCACCCACAGAAGGATTAAAAAAATCCTACCAAGGACCAAACGTAAGTGGATTACTCAAGAAAAATTAGTGTTTTAAGTGTTTTAAGTGTTTTAAGTGTTTAATAAAAAGTGTAACTTATCAGTGTGATTCTATGGTTTGTTCAGACAGAGGGACCAAGGATCAAGGACCTAGGACCCAGGATAAAGGAATCAGGAAATTCAAGGAACCAGCCAAGGACAAGGAGGCAGTTAACGATTAAAGGATTCGAGGATACACAAGGAAATTCAAGGACAGGACCAGCCATAGGATCAAGGGGACATAAGGAAGACTTATGGATTAAGAGGATCAATCACGGCGCCAAATTCAAGTGAGGACCAGGAGCAACAGGACACGTAATCCATAGCGTAAGAACGTAAATACGTATTATTATTTTTATTTTCATTTATTTTTAATCGTTTGTTTTCATTACCCTATAATTCTATTTTACTTTTTAGCACCCCTATATATTTCAATCGTAAATAATATTGTTAATAATAATTTAATTTTATTTTTTAGTGCCCCTAAATTAAAAATCCCCAATAATATTAATAGTAATAATAATTTTATTTGATTTTTCAGCACCCCTAATTTTAAAATCCCTAATAATATTGATAATAATAATAATAATAATGTTATTTAATTTTTCAGCTCTCCTATATTTTTACCCCCCAATAATTTTAATGTTAATAATTGTATTTCATTTTTTAGCACCCCTAATTTTACAA